CTTGTAACCCAGAGAATGGGTCTTCTATTTAATGTTCTTTCAGAACCTATCAGGTAATGCACCAGTCAGATAACTTTAAATATTGAGACCAGCTTAGGACTTTTCTTGGATCCTAGAGGTACCTTTCTAAGTCTCATATTTCTGATCAAGGAACTTGAGTCCAGTTTTCTCTTGGACTCTGACAGACTAGCACCTGAGTATTTGTGAGGTTTCTTTCTTAATGGGACTCAGTAATACTTAAATTACTAATCTACCTCTGCTGGCTTTCTCTGTAACTAGAATTAGTTTTCACCTAGATATATTTGAATGTTGAAGTATCTTTGAGTTTATACTAATCACATAGAAATGTTTCCATTATTTCACTTCTATAGGAGTCCCTTCTACAAACAGAATAAAAAAAGGAAAATACGAAATAAAACCTATTTTCTTACAGAAATTTTTGAATTTACAGTTGAGCAGTGGTAGAATACATTTCATATGCTGTATGTTAAAAACACCATGTCTTTCCTGTATTATTTATTATAATGAATTAAAGTAATTATTATCAAATCATCGTTTACAGTCAAAAGAAGAAAAGGAATTATTGTTTTAAGAAGAACGAAATAGAATATTGTTATGATTTAATTTCCAGTTATTAGTAGCTAAGTTGATATCATAAGGTAATTGTCTTTGATCATAAGATGGAGAGTATCTTATATTTTTAAAAATATTTATTTAGCTGTAGATGAATACACAGTATCTTTATTTATTTTTATGTGATGCTGAGGATCAAACCCAGTGCCTCACACATGCAAGGCAAGTGCTTTACTACTGAGCTACAACCCCAGCCCCTTATATTTTATTACCACAGTTCAAGGCCAAAGATCTGGCCCTGGGGCTGCCAACAAATCAGTTATAGGCATGAGTCATCCAAACCAAACCAAAAAGTTATGGTAGAAAGCAGGAAAGAAACTTTAATCAGTATGGCCATAACGGGAAGACAAGGGAATGGGTATTACCTGCTATGTCTTCAGGATACTGACATGAACTCCCAAATATATAGGCAAGGGGGACCAGAAATATACATAGTCAAGCAGCCTTGGTCAAACTGTGGTCTGGTAGATTATCTCAGGATTGGTTGGGCAGGGATTTATCCAGGAGATAAGAAAGTTGCTATTCCCTATGGGAATAATTTCAACTCATCACAAAATGTTTATCAATTACATTAGTTGTTTCCAGAATCTGGGATCACTTGGCAAAAGAGACAGATGGAAAATGGAGGCAGAAATGCCAATTTTTTTTTTTTTTTTTTACATTTGCAGGCCCAAGTGAAATCAGTGCTTTTTAGCAAAAGCAGCCTCTAAGTCTTTTAATACTTTTAAATGATTATGAAAATAGAAATTAAGAGTTTGAGATTGGAAGGCTTGATTCTGTAGGAGTTTTCATTTGTTTCCACTCATTTTAATTATAGATTCAAAGATCGTAATCAACTATTATAACTATTATTTAAGAAGTTATTATCAGAATCAAATATCCAGACTGCCCAATTCTCTAAGTGACCAACATTTGGGAGATAGGATTTGAGAAGGAATCAGGCTTATTCAAAGCAGGCCTGAAGAGGATGGAGGGTTATCTCCTCAAAGCTCTATCTTGTACCTGCATACCCATGTTTACAGTGGCACTATTCACAACAGCCAAGTTATGAAATCAGCCTAGATGTTCATCAGCAGATGAATGGATAAAGCAAAAGTGGTGTATACACACAGTAGAGTAGTATTCAGTCATAAAGAAGAATAAAATCATGTCATCTGCAGGAAAATGGATGGGACTGAAGATCATCTTGTTAAGTGAAATAGCCAGACTCAGAAAAATAAGAAATACGGGCTGGGGTTGTGGCTCAGTGGTACAGCACTTGCCTCACATGTGTGAGGCACCGGGTTCTATTCTCAGCACCATTTATAAATAAATAAAACAAAGGTCCATTGACAACTAAAAAAAAAATTTAAAAAAGGGAATAATATCATTAAAGGAGAAAGATAAGTAATACATGTTTTCTCTCATGTGAACTCTCGGGGGGGGGGAAATGACATGAAAATAGAAGGACGACAATTTAGGGAAGGGGACCAGGGAAAAGGGAATAAGAGAGGGGAATAAAGAAGATGGATACAATCAAGGCATGTTATATGCATGTATGGAAGTGTCACAAGGAAATCTATTAGTATGTGCTAATAGGTATTTTTTTTAAGCTCTCTATTTTTTTTTTTTGGTGGGGGTTGGAGTTTTTGTTGTTATTATTGTTTTGTTTTTGTGGTACTGGGGATTGAACCCAGTGAGTCTACCACTGAGTTATATCCCTACCACTTTTGTGTGTGTTTGTGTGGTGCTGGGGATTGAACCCAGGGCCTTGTGCATACAAGGCAAGAACAAATTGAGCTAAATCCCCAGCCCCTACCACTTTTGTATTTTATTCTGAGACAAGGTCTTACTAAATTGCCCAGTCCTCCCACCTCAGCATCTCCAGTATTGGGATTACAGGTGTGTGCCACCATGCCAGGCACAAAGGGCTTTCTTGGGAGGGGAGAAGGTGATATAGTGAGCAGAAGGCTCCACCCTGGTCAGGGTCCTCATCAATCATGGATGTGTTTCCCTTTTTCTTCTCTAGGTGAACATTGCAATGGACTTTACCCTCCTGTCACGAGTTACTAAGACCTAGGAATGACTGCTCCTCTGCAAAAGGGCCAAAGGGAGGGGGGCCAAAGGGAGATGGAGCAAAGGACAGTTTCAAAGAAATCCCTGTAACAGAGATGGCGGGCTATGGTTGTGAAACAATGTAATGACTTCCTTGGTCTTTGCTTCTTAACCAAAGAAGATAATTTCAAAGCTTTGCATTTTTATCTTATGCTGCCACCTGTGAAAACATTTACATCTACAGAAACAGCCAGGCATGCCCCCAGAGCTCCAGAGGCTGGGGCAGGAAGATCACAAGTTCAAAGCCAGCCTCAGCAACCTAATGAGACTCTGTCTCTAAGTAAAAAATAAAGAGGGCTGTGAATGTGGCTCAGTGGTTAAGCACCCCTGGTTTCAGTCCCTGTTACAAATAAATACATAAATAAAAAATAAATTAATAAATAAATCTAAGGAAACTACACCATAGAAAAAGTGGATTGCTATAAGTCACGAACACCATTGTTTTGCAGTTTTTTACACTTGTATGCTTGAGATGCCAATGGTGTCATAAGCAAGCTTGGTAAAATAGAAAGACTGGTTTAATTGAAAAATTAAAGTGGGGCTGGGGTTGTGGCTCAGCGATAGAGCACTTGCCTATCATGCGTGAGGCCCTGGGTTCAATTCTCAGCACCACATATAAATAAATAAATTGAATAAAGGTATTGTGTTAATGACAACTAAGAAATATTAAAGAAAAAAAAAGAAAAATTAAAGTGGCAGAGATAATAGGTGGGACAGGACTATAATTCCAGAGACTGGGGGAGGCTGAGGCAAGAGGATCATGAGTTCAAGGCCAGCCTGGTGGGCAGCTTAGCAAAACCCTGTCCCAAAATCAAAAATAAAAGGGATATAGCTCAATGGTAGAGCACTCTTGGGTTCAATCCCCAGTACAAAAATAAATAAGTAAATAAAGTGGCATAGATAGGAATAGAGTGACTGGAAATGGGTATGTTGGTGGTTTTTGATTTCTTCCTAGGACAAGTGTAGATGGAGGCAGTCCTTGAAGGAGGGCATACGTGAGGACTTTGCCAAATTGGGTGAGAATGTTTAGGAAGGGAAGAGCCATGAGACAAATCAAGGACATGAGGACTTTGTGGCTGGAAAGGAGCTGGAATATGCAGTTGGGTAACTTGAGAGTCAGGCTGAGCTTAAGCTCCTGACAATGGGTCAAGAACTGTGGTCATCCCTCATGTTTGACTTCTCCATTTGGGAAGCCCTGACCTGCGTGCTCCAACTACACATGAAGACTGCCATTTCAGTCTGTTAACTTGGGGGGATTTGTTAAGGTTTATTCTATGCCAGTCACTGTGGTAGGGAGCTGGGGAGGTAGCAGTGGGGGAGAAAGCTAGTCCCTGCCCTCACGGCTTCCTTCAGTTTAGACCTAGCAAATTTCATTTGAAATGAAGAGAAAGAAGAGGAAAGAGAGAAGGAGTTTTGTAGTTTTGGCTGGAGGGAGTTTTGTTTGTAGAGGGCAAGCTGAAGTTCTAGTGCAGTTTCTGTTTGTGGAGGTTCCACTTGAGTCTTTTCTTCTCTTGTTATAATTTTCATGTAGCCGCCCTCAACTTTTGTCTTTCTCTGTGTAGCTTCCCCCTCTGTTACTGTGCTTCACAAATCCTAGCTGCCTTGACCTCATGAACTCTGATATGCTTTTCCTCCACAGCCAGCTTATGGGGCTCTTTTTAGGTCCCCATTCCTGAGCTGAGACCTGGAAACTGCCTCTGGGCAGTAAACTGGAGCAATCATAGGGATGCATCTCATTGTTTCTCTTTTCTCAGGGATCTCGATTGCCTGCAATGTCTGAGAATTGTTGTTTCATGTATTTTATTACCTTTCTAGTTATATAAAGTGAGAGGGTAAATTCAGTCCTTGATGCTCCATCACAAATGGATGCCAATGTCTACAGTTTACCTTTGAGGTCTTATTTCACAGCAAATGCTTCCTGAGTAAGTTCATATCTGTGCCATATATGAATAGTATTGTATTAAAAGAGCCATGGACTAGGAATAAGATCCAGTTTCTTTCACTTGATTGCTATTTAAATTTGTGTTTCTTACAAACAATATGGTGCTTCCATGGTTCTCAACTCAAATGACGTAATTAATTTGATGTCTCAATTTATTTTCATCTATAGAGGGAGAGTTTGAACTGTCTTTATAGCATATGGACATGATATAAAATGTGCACACAACAAAGTATGTCATTTGGCTTAGTTTGAGCTATTTTCAAACGGAAGCTAGTATGTTATCTCTGAACAGTCTTTATTATTTGTCTTTATTACTTACATGTATTTTTAGGCACCATACTGGACATACCTTTCATGTGCCCTGGGACTCTTTATCTACCAGTCACTGGATGCTATTGATGGAAAACAAGCCAGAAGAACAAATTCTTGTTCTCCTTTAGGGGAACTTTTTGACCATGGGTGTGACTCTCTTTCCACAGGTAAATTACCATTTTCTTCCCCACCCTCTCTCTGTAGTTTTGTTTTAACACTGATAGCTTAAAAACCAAAATGAACCAAGTTGTTTGCTCATTTTTTTTTTTTTTGCAGAGGTGTACATTTGGGAGCAATTTGCATAATTTGTTTAAAAAGGATGTTCAAAAATTCATTTTGTTAAATAGACCTTATTTTAATGCCAGAATTATGTCCTCTGAAACTCTGCATTTCAAAATAGCACAGGGAAATTATTTCATTGATGATTTTTAAATTCGTAATGGTCTTTAAACTTTGTTCTTTCAGTATTTATGACAATTGGAGCTTCGATTGCTGCTCGCTTAGGAACTCATCCTGACTGGTTGTTTTTCTGCTCTTTTATTGGGATGTTCATATTTTATTGTGCTCATTGGCAGACCTACGTTTCGGGCATATTGAGATTTGGAAAGTAAGTATGTGTTTTCAAGTTTAAAAATGTAAACAAATTAATTTTCACAATCTGATATGGCATTTTTTCATGATAAAGGGGATGAAGCTTCATTCAGTAATTTAAATTCTTTTAAATTTATTAGAGTTTTCCATGCATGCTACATCTTCTAAGTCCTGTAGGTGTTCTGCATGTTACAGATATGTTATTTGACAATAGTTTTATTTTCTTCCCCCATTCTTGAGCTTCCTCACTAGCCCAACTTTACTATAGACAGGGAAAAAAGAAAAATAAGGGGTCCAAATAACATAGAAAAAGAATTCATAGTATTTAAATAAAAAGCATTTGACCCTTATAATAAGTGACAAGTGATGTGGAGCCTAAGATACTCATTGGTCAAATCATCATGTGCCCCAAAACGGAACCCCCTTGACAACCATCAACAATAACAGGTAATTGTGAGACTCTCAGCTGTGGACACAGTTGGTGAAATGATCTACAAGTGCCCTGTAAATGCTGGAGCCTTGTACCAGATGCTATCTATGCCTCTGGTGCCTCTTTCTCAGACACCAGGAAATAGTGCACAAAGCAGAAATGCTGTTCTGTATTCTTGCTTCCCCATGTAGCTCCCCCTCCACTTGGTCCTTGAAGACCTTCCTGCTGTTTGCTCACTCTCAGTTTACCTTCCTATGTCTACTGATTCTTTTTAGCCCCATTTTCTTGCTGCATAGGAAAATCAGTAGCTCTAAAAAAAAAAAAAGAAAAAACAAAACTAAACTCCTGATATAATGAGAAAAACTCAAAAGTATAGACCATTTTGGAGCAGTAAGGCTTCAGGCAACTTTTCATATTAATCCCAAATTTTGGAATAATTGCAACTACCACCTACTAAGCACTTGCTTGCTTTAGGCACTGTACTAAGTGTTTTTCATACATTGTGTCTTTTATTCCTAACATTAATCCTGGAAAATGGATGTTATCTCCACTGTACAAATATACTACCAATAAATGATAGAACCAAGACTACAACTCAAGTCTTTGACTTCATGCTCTTAATAACTGCTGTCCAGAACTATGAGTCTAGCAATGTATTACATGTCATGGAAAGATAGAAAATACATGACAGATAGAGGCCCTCTTTTAGGAACTATGTGGGACATTTCGTTAGAGATAATACTTCTGTGACAATGATAACAGTCCAGATCAAATGTGAAAAGACTTACTTTAGGTTTCCAGAATCACTGAAGAAATCCTAAATAAGAAGAAGGTAACTATAGGCTGAACTAGTTTAAGAGAGTTTTAATAGAAAATGTGAAAATTAGTTCTTTACATACCAGTCAAGACCCATGGATCAGAAAGTATCAGTAAACATTCAAGGTAACTGTGTAAAACTAAGAATCTGTACCTAGTTATAGATTAAGATATGGTAAAATAGAAAAGCACCTTTTCAAAATCAAGTGCATTTTAGTTAATTTACTATGGTAAACTGGAGTAATATAATGCAGTGTTCTGGATAATTATTATTAATGACTAAAAGTAAAACTTTTTTATTATTTGCTTCATTAAAATTATTTCTGGGATGAATTAGTTCACATTTCTGGCCTCACTGTAAATTTTACTCCCAATTACTATTGATTGAGAATCTTGAACTGGAAATACAAAGATGAGTCACCTGTTACAAGAATATGCCAGACACACTGAGGAAGAGCATTCTACTCAGAAGCATCAGGAAAGTACTTAGAATATTAGAGAAATGGCTAGTGAATGATTACCAATCTTGGAGGAAGTAAAGGAGATCCTTCAGGGTCTCAGGGTCAGCCATTTAAATATTAACCCTTTTTCAGCTATGTACTTTTTTTTTTGCCTTACCAAAGTAAAAATACTATGGAGAACTGAATTGGATAGGTTGAGGTTCCTGCTTAATACTACAAGAAGGACTATAAACATACCTTATGGAAGTATGTAGACTGACCTCATGTCAGTTGTCCCTGCTAGGATGGATTTCCTGAATATCTGTCATTTTTAACATAATTTTTATAGTATATATGGTATTTGAAAATAGATATATAAAACCAAGATGAACACTATCAGAATATACTTCAGAAATTTATTTCATGAATACATTCTTGGTTTAAGCCTGTTTTCTGTGATTTTCTGTTTCTTAAAAGACCTAAGAAAAAACATACCAAATCAGCTTGTTTTGTTGAGCTGAAAAATGTAAGGTTTTACTAACATTGCTATATTTTTTGCTATATCATTTTTTCCAATTTTCATACCCCTTTATGCACTTTATTAGTAGTCTACTTTAGTATAATAGTTGAAAATAGAGGCTCTTGAGTCAGATTGAGTAGAATCAAATTCTGGCCCCTACCTACTAGTTAATTTATCAGAAATATATTAGTTTCATTTTTTTTCAATTTCTTTGGTATGTTTATTTCCTCAGGAGTGACATTAAAAACTAACCTTTCCTAAAAGAAAAACATATGTATTAATCAGTGAGATAGTAACTGATGTCAAATGAAAAGAAGCATAGGGAAGTTGAATAAAACAGATTTGAGGATGGGAGGTTAATATAATTTATTGAGTGGTTTTATTGAATACTGGAGCAATGAATTTGAATAAATATTTTATCAAATATTGATTGAGCATCCATTCTAGGCCCTTTCCTAGGTGTCATAATAAGAAGAACAAACAAAACAGACAAAATCACTGATCTCATGCAGCTTACTTTCTAATCTTGGAGACCTAACAGTAAAATATGCTAAACAAATAAATACTGCAAATAGTAAATTGGGTGGTGATAAGTGGTATGTGTCAAGAACTGTAAGGGGTCTGATATTTTACCTACTTATAAGCTCCAAGAAAGCCTGTTAATGTTTTATGAATGCCTGCAGAAGATACAAAGTCCTGGGTCAGAGGCAGAGGACAACATTATCTGGGCAAAAACAACAGACAGAGGTTCCTGTTGTGCCATTTCCATGCCTTACCCTCTCCCATAGTCTTGTGGGGACCTAGATGAATGCCTGCACCTGTAGTAGGTTCCATAAAGAGAGAACTTTGAGGATCTGTTTAGTTTTATAGCAAGCAAAAGCAAACCTGTTTATTGAATGTGTAACCTCATCTTTCAGGGTTGCTCACAACATTCACAACCCTGGAAAATGACCCCAGTTGAGTGTTGTCATAAAAAGTTATTGTTCAGACATAAGCTTGCATTCTTGGCACATATGCAGGGCCACGAAAGGGTATTCTGGGTCCATGGCAGAAAGCCTCTCATAATTGTGGGAAGAAAAAAAATAAGGAAGGAAGAGCAACTATTTAAACACTTCTTTTTTCCTTATGAATATAAAACACTGTCCTGTATTGTTCCACAGAATAGAAGTACTACCTATTTTACTTGGATGTTAATTGTTAGGTTGACCTCTTAAAAATGTGTAATTTCACTACAAATATGAACTTATTACCTTGAATCAGATCATTAAAGCCATAATACATTAGTAACTACTTTAACTCTAATTTTAAACTTTTACCTTAGTTTATGTAGTTATAAATATAAGTTTATCAATGGTATATTAGATTTTCTTTAGCACAGTTAGCAGAAAAATTTACAGTTAAAATCTGTTCCAGGTCTAATGTTTGCCATATAAGATAGAGTATATCTTATTTATTATAACATGCTTGTTCCCATGTAGAATCTTATGTAACTCAGTAAAGCAGGGTTTAAAATTTAATTTTTAAAACTAAATCAAGCATTTTAAGTTCAAGTCCAGTGTTAACTTGTATTATGTGGTACTTTTAAAAAAATCAACATGTGAATATTTAGATTCAATGTTAATTTTTTCCTTTCTTTCAAAACCTTTCTATCAGATCTGTTTCTAAGACCATGTTTGGGAGGAAAGACTCCTCATCCCCATCCAACCTAGAATTACAATATACAATTTTAAAAAAAGCAGACTTATAAAATATAATCCCAAATATTTTATTTGATTCAACACACAAAATATTACTGTTAAGTTACCGAAACTTTTTCTACTGCTTACTCTCAATTCTGTAACGCTCTCATTGTGGACTCGTAAGAAATTCTGTACTACTTTGAATAGCACTATTGTAGATTGTCCTCAGTGTTAACAACCTGGGGACTTATAGGTATTATGCCATCATATCCCCAATATCTATTTTTCTGGCATTTTAAGACTTTTGAACAGATTCTTAACCCATTAATTAATTCTCTAAGCCTATGAGTTGTTATATAGAATAGTCTTTGTATAATGTGTCCTTCAAACTCCAATTGTTTCTTCGTAGTTCAAAACTTGAGGATTGGTGAGTGATTCCACCCTTATAATCCCATAAACTTTGTTATTTACTAGATCTCAATGTTATCTTTTCAGCTTTCTTTTTTTCTAGACTTAACAGGCACAGAAGTAGGATGAATATATGAGCTTAATTTAACATCTATGTTATTGAATGTTGTATATGTGCAACCAGCCATATTCCTAGCTCAGTTCTCATGTGTGTCATTTACTTTCATTCTAAAGAAAGCTCATCCCATAATCCCTATCTGCTTTCTAGTTGCTTCTGGTCACTAGTCATAGCCCATGAAAATTATGGACAATGATATTATTCTTTGTTATTACTGAAATGAGTGCAATACTGATAATAGTCCTAAGTGCAGTATGATGAGAGTTGGCTCTGAAGTCATGTTCTTAAGCAATATTCAGCTATTCTTTAAAAACCAGATATAATTTATACTTTGCAAGATACATAATAGATGCTAAATAAATCAGTACTCTCCCTCCTTTTTCTTCAGAAAGAACCCTACATAATATTATTATATTTACCTTTACAATTTGACTCTCCTCCAGGCAGCCTGGAGGTCTTGGTTTGCCTGCTACTGATCTTATAAATACTGAATGTTATTATTATATTTTCCTTTTATTTGTATGTTAAGATTCAGTTCATTTTTCCTTCTAACTGACCAAAATAACTCAGTCAAGAAATCTTTTCTTCCATATCTAGTTTTATCAAATCCCTACATTTCTTGTATTTGCAGAACATTAAATATTCCTCTAGCATTAAAGACTCTGGGATATATAGTAGAGTCTTAAAGCAGAGACATAAAGCAGGTAGACAGATTAAAAAAAAGTCTAGAGCTCAGAAAAAAAATTGAAGATTTATAGTTGGTAGTTTTAAATTTAGGTTAAATTATTCAGAGAATATGAAATTGCAGATGGAATTTAGTAAACACCTCTACATTTAAAATGTAGAGGAATAGGAAGTCTAGGAAAGAGCCAGGGTAGAACTCTAGAGAGGAAAAAAAAATCAGGAGAGTACATGGAATAAATAGAAACATAGTAAAACAGTTCAAGAAAGAGGAATGATCCACATTTTAAATTTTGCAAAGAAGTTATATAAGATGATTACTGAAATATATCCACTAGATTTGGTAAATCAAATCACTGTTTAAGCAATTTTAGTGGAATAACGGGACCACAGTCCAGACTCTAGTGAAATAATCACAAATATGAAGAGGAAATTACAAATGTAGACTAATTTTCCATTAGCCTGTTGAGGGAGGAAAGGAGAGAGGATTTGATAGTTTCTGGGGAATGCAGATTAGAGAGACTGAGACTGTTTCATTAGTGTTTTGTTTTTTTTTTAAGAGAGAGAGAGAATTTTTTATTTTTATGTGGTGCTGAGGATCGAACCCAGCGCCCCGCGCAGCCAGGCGAGCGCACTACCGCTTTAGCCACATCCCCAGCCCACATTAGTGGTTTTTTGAGAGAAATATGAATATGCTTATAAGAGGGAAAATGTCTGTGAAAACCAAAAAACATATTGACTAGTTGTAATTTAATAAAAGCTGTTAGAATTCCCCCTACTTTATAAGTGAAATTGACTTAGAAGTGTTTAATGATTTTCCCTAAATCATATGGTTGCTTGTTTATTATTATGATTTATTCCTGATTTATAAAAGTAATACATAATTTAAAAAATTCAAACTTTAGAGAAGTATATATAGTAGTAAGTCTTCTGAAATTTCAATGACAATTATTAGCAATTTGATACATGCTATACAAGTTTCTTCCCTTTGCACATGTTGTTTTGTAGCCTTTGAATCTTTTAATCTTTTAATTATCAACTGAATACAACTTTGTGTATTCAGTTGATAATTCAAAGATTCAAGTAAAGGTAAAAATAAACAAAGTATATAAAGATGTTTACTTCCTCAACATCTAATATATGATTAGCTAAACTACACAGTCAAGAATTTTACTTGCAAACACCTTATCTATTTTTGTCCTTCCTTTTTAGAGTGGATGTAACTGAGGTTCAGGTAGCTTTAGTGACCGTCTTTTTGTTGACTACATTTGGAGGATCAACAATGTGGGACTACACGGTAAATCTAAATATTTAAATTGATGTTTAAGCACTTTTTAAATATGTAGGACAAAATAGTGTATTGTTAATCTCTTCAAATCTTTTCCAGGAATTAAACTCAGGGGCACTCAACTACTGAGCCACATTCCCATCCCCATTTTGTATTTTATTTCGAGATAGGATTTCACCAAGTTGCTTAGTGCCATGCTTTTGCTGAGGCTGGTTTTGAACTTGTAATCTTCCTGCCTCAGCCTCCCAAGCCATTGGGATTATAGTCGTACACCTCCCTTTATTTTATAATGTTAATATCCTGTATACCTTATAATGGCATTTTCTTCTATGTGTAAATATTTTACTGCATAGAAGATAATGACCCTATTTGCCCTCTACCCCCCTCAAAAACAGAAATTACCTTTTGAGGCCAAAATTTATATCATGAAATAAATATGCATTTAAAAGTCCTGTTAATTTTGTTTGAAATTTGTCCTTAAGTATTAAGGAAGGAAAATGGTTAATTTGCCTTTTTAAAATCCATTTTGAGATGAAGATTAAGGCATGATTTTGTTTTATGCCAGGTTGGTGACCTCAGTTGGCTTTTAGGAGACCACTATTATAAACTCGAGCTTTGCATAAGAAGAAAATTTATAAAGAAACAAATTATTCTGTCACCCAACCCAAGTTCACAACACTAGGCTGACTCACAACTTCATATGCGTAGTGTTAAGAAGAATAATGTCAACGGTCAACAACTGATATTCCACACTGATTTTGTCCCAAACACTGTGCTGTCAGTTTCATCTGCCCTTCAGAACAATCCTGGGAATAGATGTTATCATTATTCTGTTTTAGAAATGTCTTAAAATGATTAAGTCCTTTGTTCAAAGATATATGGGAAGTACTGAAGCTAGGACTTAAACAGACTCATTCCAGACGTAATGTTTGTAATCACTAAGCCACATACCTCCAGCAAAAACAGAGATACAAAACTAAATTACCATATGATCCAGCAGTCAAGCTCCTCCTGGGTATTTACTCAAAGGAGTTGAAAACTTATGTCGACACAAAAATGGCTAATTACAAAAATGGCTTTATTTTTAATTGTCAAAACTTGTTTGGTAAATTGGTAAGTAATGGAGTCCATTCAGATGATGGAATATTATTCATTGCCAAAAAGAAATGAACTATCACAACATAAAAAGACCTAGAGGATCCTTAAAAGCTTATTATTAAGATCAACAAGCTAATCTGAAAAGGCTGCATACTTTGATTTCAGAACATGACATTCTGAAAAAGGCAAAACTATGAACTCAGTAAAAATATGAGTGGTTTCCAGAGGTTGGGAGGATGTAGGGATAAAAGGCAGAGAGCACAGGATTTTTAGGTTAGTGAAACTATTTTGAATGAGTGTTGGATTCATGTCATTATACATTTATCATAACACAAAAGAATGTACAACACCAAGATTAGAACCTAATGTAAACAATGAACTTTGTGTGATAATGTGTCAATGTAGGTTCATTGGTTGTAGCAAATGCTATGATGGGGGATGTTGATGGTAGGGAAGGTTATGGGGAGGGAACAGGAGAAATGTGGGAATGCCCTATACTATACTCTCAATTTTGCTATGAACCTATAACTATTTTTTTAAAAATAAAATCTAGTAAAAACAGTAAAATATTTAATTCCCTGTAATACTCAGAATTGCTAATTACTGTTTCTAGTGGTAGGCTCAGAAAGAGATTTTCAGCATACTTTTAAGTGGTGATACATTCCCTGAGACATTCATATTCCTTCTCATTAGGTAAACATAAACAGTAGTATTGAGGATATGCTATCATAGGCCCATACAATATACTGGAGAGATGCTATATTTTATGGTAGCTATTCAGCTAGTACCCATAAGATGGTGAATGTGGACCAAGAAGCATTTGGTTAACTACAGTCATTAAGTCAGATTTAATTCACTTGAATTTGGAACTGAAAAATTGTTTCTTCCATTGTTTTGACAAGGTCATAGGAATAAAATACACTTGCTTATTCTCACTAAGAATACTTACTTTTTATTTAGGTTTTCAAAATTTAATGGCTAACCTGTAGTTTCTGCAAATTTGGTACAATCTTTCAAAGTCTATTTTCAAAATACAATAGCCTATGGCCTTTGGCAATTCATTGTTACTGTTTTTAAATCCTTTGCTGCCTTTGGAATTTTTCTTGAACAGCAATTGACCAACAGGTAAATATATTGCTAGAGATTTGATCCTGGATATTCACTACACAAATGTTTTTGCATGCACACACATCATATCTATCACATTTAAGATGCATATCATGGTGTCTGCCTTTCAGGGGCTACTACATTTAAGTGAACTATCCTTTTTCGTGTTTAAGTCAGATGAAGGCTTGTTAAGTATTTAATCACAATTATAGAAACAGATTGAACTGATTTGGTGAATTCATTTTTGCTTAATGAATAAACCAATTTCAGAAGAAGTTACCATTTATATTCCAAAAGTTAAGTTTTGATTACAAGAAAAAGGATAGCTTATTATTCAGGACCTATCATAATGTTTCTTTACTATCTAATAGGAAGAAAATTCTGTTTTCTTAATGATTTCTTTCTTTTCTTTACCCCTAAAGATACCCATTCTAGAAATAAAATTGAAGATCTTTCCAGTTCTTGGAATAGTTGGTGGAGCAATATTTTCCTGTTCAAATTATTTCCATGTTATCCTCCATGGTGGTGTTGGCAAGAATGGATCCACTATAGCAGTAAGGCCCTAATTTTTCATCATCACTATTGATTTATGATAACTTTTTTTTCTCATCACCAGCTACCAAGAGACATGAAAATATGTCAAAGCTTGAGAATGGAGAAGGAAACTAAATATCTTAAAGAATTTATTGTAGAAACACAGCACAAAAACATTTTAAAAACTATGTAGACGTGGGGCTGGGGTTGTGGCTCAGTGTGAGGCACTGGGTTCGATCCTCAGCACTACATTAAAAAAAATAAAACAAAGGTATTGTGTCCATCTACAACTAAAAAAAATTTTTAAAAACTATGTAGATTTATAATGAAGCATTTTTCCTCTTTCCACAGGCTTGCTTTGCATAGACATTTCTGACTTCATTTAATTACTTTCATTATTGTACATAATCAAGAGTTTCCATTTGTTTTCTTGCAATTTGTGCCTTGAACTAATAGAGGAGAAGAGGAGTAGGGAATAAGTTCCTGATTGAATTGACAGGAAAGCTATCAAAGGTCAAAGGTTATACAGTGGGGCAATTTATTACTCATAAATTTTATTGAAATGCCACTGAAAATACTTAAGAGACCTATCCTAATATTTTCAAAGGGAAAAAGTTTAATGTCAATTTTCAAAGAGGTATACCTTGTGTTTTATGTTCTTTACAGTTGCTCATGCGATAATTTTTTATTTATTCATATATTTTTAAAAGTCTTTAATACTTTTTTTGGGTTTTTTTTTGTTTGTTTCAGTATTGAGGATTGAACCGGGGGCACTTGCCCATTGAGCTATATCCCAAGCCTTTTTATCTTTTATTTTGAGACAGAGTATCACTAAGTTGCCCAGGCTGGCCTTGAACTTGTGATCTTCTTGCCTAAGCCTCCCAAGTCACTGGAATTACAGGCATGTACCACCATGCCCAACTTCACTACTTTTAAATTGGAAAGAGCATTCTTTCCAAGTTTTTTTTAAAACAAACATGATAGCTAGGTGTATTAGTATTATCATCTTAAAAGTAGTTGAACGTAGGAAGATAAATGTTTATTCCAGTGATGCCATCTTACAATAAAACATTATAAGGACTTTTTAGGGATTGCACATACCCTTTAATTCCTTTGGTTCTATAATTCAAAAATTCTATTCTTTTAGAGTGGATTTGATCTTTGGAAAACAGTAAAAGTTATTTTGGAAGGACTAATAAAATAGAGTAATAAACATGAGATATAGCATTTTTAGAAAAGTCTTATTCTTTTAAACGACTTATAAGTTGGCTCTTAAGACAATTTCAAAGGAGTCCCCATAATACAAAATCAACTTAATCAACTTTTTTGAATATATATTTTGAATATATATATATTTCAAAAGCATATTATATAATTCATTTAGCTATGTAAGCTCTGACTTATTTGGGAAAAAAACCTCTCATTTCTTGAGGTGTTTTGTCAGTTGATGTTAGTGCAGTACTGTACAGAAGGTGCTTAGGAATAAATGTTGCTTGATGGATAATAAAATAGAGCACTAGCTGGAACAAAAGTTCCACTGAAGAAAATAAGATTTGTGAGGATAAACATTCACTTTAGAGGATATTTTATTAAAAAATAATTATTAACTGTCTGGACAAGAACTTAAAAAGTCAACATAAGCTAGGAAGGTAGTTAATTTCAAATTCAGAAACTGGTGATTTTTCAGTTTCTGGCAGATTTTTTTTTTCTGGAATAAAACCTAAGAACATTATATAAACAGACAAAATGCTATTAGTCACAAGTTTTATAATTTATTACCATACAGTATTTTACATATGTAATTTTATAGTACTTATAGTGTTATTACTTTTATTTTATAGTAATTTCTAACTTAAAATATGTGAATTTAATAAATAAGCATAAGACTATTTTAGTGAACATTTTAAATTGGTAGTTATAGATTTAGTAACTTTAACACTAAATTTATTTCAGTATTTTGTTTAGGATAAGTAGTGCTGAGAGAATCCTGATATACATGGATAAAAATTTACTGGCCTGGATTATATCATTTTATATAAAAGGACATTTGCAGTCTGAATGCAAAATAAAGGGGAGTGAGAAGGTGTTGATGTGGAGAGAAACCAAGGCAGACTATTGTCAGTGACTGAAATATTTCGTAGAATTGGCAGAATAAGCTTTTTTTCAGCATTGTCACAAAAATGTCGACAGTTGAAAGCAAATTATATAATTCATTTAGCTATGTAAACTCTTTTTTTTAGCATTGACACAAAAATGTTGACAGTTGAAGTATTGACAGCCTTTGACACAGTAAAAGTTGATACAGAATAAATAACAGTGTTAATTTTTAGGTAATTATTGGTTTAAAATGCGCATATATAAAACTGGAATCAAATGTCTTTTGCACTGTTTCACATCTGTATAGCGCTAGGATTCTGTGGAAGTTTGAAGTCAGCATACCTAAGGTGTGTATACTTCTTTAAGCCATACAACATCATAATCTCTTCTTTAACTCTCTAGTTCTTTACACATAATAGATGTTCAGAAAATGTTTGAATTGTAATAAATCCAGTGTTAAAATGTGACGCTGATTTTCTGCTTTATCCCTTAGGGCACAAGTGTCTTGTCACCTGGACTCCACATAGGACTAATTATTATACTGGCAATAATGATCTATAAAAAGTCAGCAACTAATGTTTTTGAAAAGCATCCTTGTCTGTATACCCTAATGTTTGGGTGTGTCTTTGCTAAAGTTGCACAAAAATTAGTGGTAAGAAGTTCTTTTATGATTCTTAGTGTAACTATTATACCTAGTTCACAAATGCAAAACTGGAAACTATTTCATACAATGCATTAAGTTTTTCTCTGTAGACTCAGTATCATAGTAAGTAGCTGTTTGTGCTACAAGAAAAACTGCATTATGACTTAATATTATATTCAGTTCTTTTAATTATTTAGTTGTAATTATCTATTAAAACTTTCTGATATCAAGAAACTTAACTTTAATAAGCTACCTGGCTATGAATTTGAGAGGTGTAGATAAGGATTCCCATACTGAATATAAGACTAAATAATCTGTCTTAATAGTGAATTAAAACTAATTTCTCCTGAAAATTAGAGCTAAAACATTTAAAATTTAATAGTAAAATTATTTTGTTTACTTTCTTGTAGATAGCTCACATGACCAAAAGTGAACTGTATCTTCAAGACACTGTCTTTGTTGGGCCAGGTCTTTTGTTTTTAGACCAGTACTTTAATAATTTTGTAGATGAATATGTCGTTCTATGGATAGCAATGGTAAGTACTTTTCTGCTATTTATTTTTTAACAGATGTCAAAGCATAACATGTTTAGGAGACATTTAACTATCAGTTGCCTCAACATTTAGTCTATAAAATGTTTCTGAATATGAAAATTACTTCTTTTAAGTTGTGAACCATTTTATATTGTATAGAAATAGCCAATGTATCCAAAGATCAAGCTTCTAACAATCCAGGTCCTTGGAAACACAATCATTTATTATATCTTTCCCCCTCTACCCCCACAAACTAGAACAGAAATGTCAAAAACCACTTCACTCTAACCAAAGGACTTTCTGACTTTCCTTAAGCTTATTAAAATTATTCCTAGCTTACAGCAAGTAACAAGCTAATTAGATGGGGTTAGTACTAGCAAGGATACTTAGCTGCATCAGAAATCGTCTACTAATATTGAGGAGACAACAATAGATGTCACTAGGAAGTTCAGGATTCTGAGACCATTTTATATTAAAGGTAGGCAACTCTGTAGGCCCTTGATGATAGTATAATTTGTTTTAATCATGATGATTGAATCATCAAGCAAGGATTAAATTCTAATGATATGCTGCTCAAGAAAGGCATGTAGATATACATATTTTTCTACTCAAAAATTATTATAAAATGCAGAATATGGTGTTTTAGAAAGACACTTTAGCCATCCAAGGAAAAGACAGTCATTCCGAGTAACAATCACAAAATTGGATAAAAGGAACATTACATTTTTCTGTTCTTGAGATATATGTTTACAGTTGGTCTTCAACTAATAGTGGTTTGAATAGTCAATAGTCTTGATATATTTTTTCCTATTTCTGGATCGCACCAGCCTTTACCAAACTGTTCATGATATATAAACATATTGATATGTATTTTTTAAAAGTTCTAAATAAATCTTTTAATAATTCAAATGATCTCTCCTGTTGTTAAATTTAGGCATTTAAAAAATCTGTTTTCTGTTGTGTATAGGCCACTGGTATACATTTGATGAAACTTCCCTAGGTTATATAGTATTATACTTTATCTGGATTAAATTAACAATATTCATGCATAGTTCATTTAGAAGTTTTTTATTGTCCCAGAGGTGAGATATAATACCTAATCCTCTTGGGCAATGAAAATTTGCAGTCAATATACTAAAAAGTGAGGCTGGGGTTGTGGCTCAGCAGTAGAGCACTGGCCTAGCACATGCGAGGCCCTGGATTTGATCCTAGCACCACATAAAAATAAGTAAAAAAATAAAAGGTATTATATTTATGTCTGAAAAAAGGTATTTATATATATATAAAGTGTCTGAAAATCAGAGTACTTTCCTTTAATTTTTTGATGTACTTGGATATGTATTATAAAATGGAATTAACAAAATTAAAATATCAGGCGTTAAAAATTCAAGCACCTGTTTTGTAATGAATAGTTGGCCTGATTTATACCAGTGATGTAGGCTGGTAAACTGAGGAAGTCAAATTCAACTTTTCTTTAAAACATTATACAGAAGAGGGCTGGGGATATAGCTTAGTTGATAAGAGTGCTTGCCTTGCATGCATAAGGCCCTGGGTTCTATCCCCAGCACCACAAAAAAAAAAAAAAAAAAAAAAAAAAAACATTACACAGAAGATAATACACACATACACAATGGGTGCCGAACAAAGTATGTGTTTTTTGGCATCCCTGAGGAAAAGCTTCCTGCCTCAGATAGAAAAGGATCTGATGGAGCTTTTCAAGTAAATGACAGATATATTGTCTCATGGGTGATAATCCCTCTCCAAAGGCACAGCTATGAGGCTTCTTTTTCTCCTAGGCTTCATTGTTTGAAGGAAAGCTTCTGACTAATCTCCAGGAAAATCTTTGGAAACCTTCCTCTTTCCATTTTGAATAGAAGACAATTTTGTATATGCCTCCCCTCAACAGGCTGTCTTTCCCAGATCTTTTTATATTCCTTTTTTACAGACTATATTACTGATAATACCTTTGGAGGTGGATACCAGTGATTGCATTCAGGGGCACTCACCATGGGAGCCACATCTCCAGCCTATTTTTTATTTTACTTAGAGTCAGGGTCGCATTGAATTGCTTGCCTCGCCCTTACTGAGGCTCGATTTAAACTCCCAATCCTGTCAGCCTCTCCAGCTGTTGGGATTATTGGCATGTGCCACCATGCTTGCCCAGATCTTTTATGTTCTTATAACTAGTCTTAAAAGAATAAAATATGTATCTGAATAGTTCATTACAATGACTGGCAGCCCCTTCTAGAAAATGTGTGGCCTTATTGCATAGCAAAAAGTTGAAAGAATGTGGAGTCAGAAGACTTGGCTTCTGTTACTTTTGAGCTTTTATACTTCGGTCCTCTTACCCCTCTTACCCTCAGCTTCTATAATTGAAATACCTTGTATATTCCAGAAGAGTATAATAATAAGGTCCAAATATGAAATATGCTAAACTACTCTAAAAAGTAATAAAAAGTAATATTTTCAGAGTTAAGAATTTTATGTTAAGAATATTTGAGATTGGGTGGGAAGGGACAGAAAAATGTCTGTAAATTCAGAAAACATAGGCCATAATCCATTTTATATTCTTTTTTTGCTTCCAAAGGTCATTTCTTCATTTGATATGATGATATACTTTGGTGCTTTGTGCCTTCAAATTTCAAGACACCTTCATCTACATATCTTCAAGATTTCATATCATCAAGCACCTGAACAGGTTCACAAGCATATTGACTGACTAAATAGCCCAAGGAAAAGAGGAGAAGCAGTTAGGGGAAACCTATGTGTGAAGGAAATCCCCCTGTGCAGGAGGCTAGTATACAATCCAATAAGGTTATATTTGAATATAATAGATAAATCCTATAGATTTCATTATAATGATTTCAGTAATGAAGTCCTCATTATGTCTCATCAACATTTTTGATCAAAGGTATTATCAGTAATGTAGTCTGTAAATTAGAAACAAGACCAAAGAATGAAAAACTGAACATAGGTAGTTCTAAACAGCAATCTCTTTGTGTCTGCAAAATATTTATCAGACACTTAGGATTTTCATTGCCAAAGAATTACATAAAAATTCAGAACTTAAACTTTAGCCATCCTGAACATAATGGCCTTCTTTGCTAAAAACTGATAACTCATAACTGTAAATGCATGGCTTATAATAGTATAACTGAGTTTGATATTATAAAAAAATTTATGCTAGCCATTTTTCAAAAACTATGTTGATTACTGCTATAAAAGGAAAAGTACCAACTAGAATTTAAAAGGGCCATGGGAATTACTAATCTGTATTTAGTAAAAAATTTTGTGGTACTAGTTCAGAAAAACATGTGAATCCTTATATTGAGGGTAACTTGTTCTTGATATTATGGGTTAAAATTTCATTGCCATGAAAAAGACATTAAACATTCCCTTTTATGAAAGACAAAAACAGCAACTAAAACAGCTGATATGTAAGAAAATTAGTAACTTATAAAAACATGGCAAAAACATCCTTCTATAGAATATTAGCCAGTGACTTCAAGTACACATAACTCATTTAAGGTAATAAGGGGACAAAATAAGTATCAGTTATTCAACCACTAAGTCCTTTGGGCTCTGATTCTTCTCTTTCTATTCTTAGTTGAAAAGATTTAGATTGCTTTTATAAATACTAGAAATATCACCAAGATCTTTGATGGTCCAAATCTTCAGACTCCAATTTGACCCTATTTCTAATTTTATAGAGTTACATAGGCCATATTGCTGTATGATGAAATAATCAGAAAAAAATAACAAAGATTACTATATCTAGCCAAGAAACAAACATTTTAAAAATGAACAGTGGAAATTTATATTCCCTAAAATATACTTCTATGAATTAAGTACATAGAAAACATTCTGGAGATACTTATTTTGCCTCCATAACTATTGGTAGAACTTCTCAAATAAAGACCTTCTTAGAAGTTTGAATAGTACTTAATATTTATATTCTAGGTTAGGGTATCACTCAGTGGAAGAATGCATGCTTAGCATGGTGGGGTCCTGGGTTCAGTCCCCACACCACACACTCAAAAATCTGGAAGTAAACTATCCTCTTATTGTCGAATATTTCCTAATGGTGGGAGCATTAATTTCTTTGTATAAATTATCATAGTTTAAAAAAACAAGATAATTTGTATAGACTTGCTTTTAAAAACCTGATAAGACCTTAGAAGTAACATAAGGATGGGCTATAGAGGCAAAAGTTAGAATTTAAAATGGAAAAGCATGAGAAAGTCATTCCTTTACTTCTAATGGACATATCATTTTTGCCTGGATCGTTCACTGGAAGTATTTTCAGCAAGGAAAAAAAGAGTTTTAACTGTCTTATTTCAAACAAATGTTGAAACAATTTAATATTTATTAAATCAAGCATTTCAGCCAGGCCACTATGGCATAAGCCTGTAATCCCAGAGATTCAGGAGGCTGAAGCAGGAAAACCATGAGTTCCAGGATAGCCCCTGCAACTTAGGGAGACTCTGTCTCAAAATAAGCATTTAAAAATGGTCTGGGGAGTGCCTTTGGGTTCAATCCTCTGTACAAAAACAAACAAACCAAAAAACCCACAAATGTTCCTTAAGTTTTTCTATTTAAAGAATGTGTATTTTAAAAGACAAGGTATAAAAAATAACTTGTTCAGGTTTGAAATAAATGTAAAATCAATTCCACATTTTTATTGATATTAAAACTAAAAAGATATACTGGGTAAAATTATCTTTGAAGTCATAATATACTTAATTAGTTATGTTAATGACATACTTTTAATTATTACTAAGAAAATGTGTCAATTGTGGACCAAGCCCAATTACCTGATATTTTGATGTCTTCGTGGAAATGACACACTCACAAATGCAGGTTTTAAAAATCTTAAAACCTGGGGTTGGGGTTGTGGCTCAGCGGTAGAGTGCTCGCCTAGCACATGTGAGGCCCTGGGTTTGATCCTCAGCACCACGTAAGAAATAAAATAAAGATATTGTGTCCATCCACAACTAAATATTAAAAAAAATTAAAAATAAAAATAAAAATCTTAAAACCTAATATTTATAGGCTGGGTTGGGTGGCACATGCCTGTAATCCCAGCGGCTCTGGAGGCTGAGGCAAGAGGGTGTGAGTTCAAAGCCAGCCTCAGCAACAGCAAGGTGCTAAGCAACTGAGACCCTGTTTCTAAATAAAATACAAAAAAGGGCTGTATATGTGGCTCAGTGGTCTAGTTCCCAAGTTCAATTCCCAGTGCCCCCCCACTTGCAAAAAAAAAAAAAAAACACCTAATATTTATAAATCTTGCTCAGTTATATTAATGATTTTAGCAGTTTAATTTATTCTAGGTCACAAATTTAAATTCTTTTAATATACTTTATATGCCAATAGAATAGATTTCTCTTGAAATCTTATTTTCATTAGAATTGGCTATGTAAAAGTATATAGAAAAAAATGTATATGTAAAACAGCTTTTGTGGGTTTTTTTCTTAAGAACAATGTAAGCCACATGTGGTGGCAGAGGCCTGTATTCCCAGCTAATTCAGGTAAGGGGGAAGGAACACATGAACCCAAGAGTTTGAGACAAGCTTGGGTAACAGAGCAAGACCTCAAAAAAAAAAAAAAAAAAAAAAAAAGGAATAAAGAACAATGTAATCTTTATACTTGTACTTTGTACATTTGTGACTAACAAATACACTGAAGCCTAAATCTAAATTCAGTATCTTTATTAATACTAATAAAAGTGATAGTGTTAGAAAAATTCACAATTACAACTTCAGAGCTGAAAGCTTGATACATATAATTTAGGAATAGCTGGTACTTCACATAACTGTTGCAATTTTTTTGGAAGTTTACAGGAAGGGAGGACTTGCACTTAAATAAGCTACTGATTAAACTTGTTTTAATTTAAACTTGAATTTCTGAACTACTCTAAAGACTTACATGACTTTTAGCTAATGTTATAATTGTATCATATTACTTAGGTTCAAGTTCTTTCTTCAAAGAGTCATCAGAATAACATGGACTGAAGAGACTTTCGAACACTTGCCATCTCTTGCTGCTGCTGTTTCATGAAAGGAGATATTAAACATTTGTTTAATTTTTAGTTAAGTGTTATACAATTTCAGCAAATAAAATATTTCAGTGATTACACCAACCCTTATTTTTTCAATTTGAAATATAGTGACTTACAGTTTCCATCATAATTTTTTTTTGCAACATAGCCATTTCTTTTTTAAGTTCACTTTGTGTACCAGTAAGTAGATTATCATGATTCTTCTCCAAGTCCTCCAAGCTCTAAAACACAAAAGGTTACTTCGTTTTAGACCATAACTTTTTACCTCAATTTCTAAACTTGGAAAATTGTCAAAAAAAGTTTCAATATTCAGATGTTAATTATATTTATTCCAACTAAAAATACATTCTAAGTAATACATGAAGATCAAAATTCCTAGTATGAAAAAGTAAAATAAATCAGATATGAATCAAATACAATTTCAGAAGATACAAAAGTAGTATACTTTACTGGAAATAATGGGTTAAAGAACTATTAATGAAAAATTGGAGAAAAAAAGGAAAGGTACCATCAGTAGAATACCATAATTTTGAAAATTTCGAATAAGTTTCTCAAACATCAGGTTATAACCTACTAATTATGACCAATAGTCAATGTGACATGAACTCACTAGAGAGAAAAAAATGATCTATAGTATGAACTCTTTATCTTAAAGTTATGAAAAACAACTTATATTTTAACTCTTTACTATTTACTCAACAGTTATCCTAGTACCTACTATGTAAAAAGTACTATGTTAAGTACTGTGAAGAAATTTAAAAATAAATAATTCATGGTTGCTTCGTTATTCCAAAGAGAAGAAACATATAAACAAAAATAACACAAAAGCTTTATAACAGGAATGGAAATGTAGCTTACTCAGGCTATATCAAAGAAAATGGGGATTGAATCCAATTTATTTGGCAAAAAAGTAAAATTTCAATAAATAAAGGAGTTGAAAGTATTCTAGGGGGAGAATATAAGCAAAAGCATGGACATACAGTGAGTGGGTTCAGAGAAAGCAATTATGTAGAGGGGTAGAAATAATAAACTATATAAAACTTAAAAAGAGTCATGACAGGGATCTCAAAGACCTAAGAATGTAGAATGGGAATGTAGATTTTTCAGAAGGAAAGAGATTTTTTTTTTTTTAGAAAAATAACATGGAAGACTTATGAAGGATGGCCTGGAGAACAGAGAAATCAGTTAAGAGTTTTAATGGTAAAAACAAAAAGTGATAAGGCCCCGAACTAAAGTAATAACAGTGGGAATTAAAAGAACCACTGATGAAGAAAAATTACAAGATCCTAGTTATAAATGAATGTGAAAGATAAAGGAGGTGGAGGAGTCAAAGTATACTGAAGTTCCTATCCTAGGTAGTAATGTTTAATTATAATATTTAGAAAAAATATTTTCTAGTTTCAAACCTTCATACCAATTAACAAATTTTATTCTCAGGGAGCATTAGAGAAAGCAAGTTGTCTACATGAAAATGCTTTTAATTTTAAAAGTAACTTTTGCATTTTTAAAACTATTTTACTATTTAGATCACAACTTGCACAATTATCAGTAAATAATTTCAATCCACAAATTTTTACTCTTAAGCTATCTTGCCTATCTCTTAAAAATTGGAATAGAAAGTCATTTTGATTACTGCAATAAATTCTAAAAGCAAATATGCCATACTTATATGTATATCTAAAAATAAATATTAATTTCAATTGGATCTTTTCTATTTAATAAAGACTATGTAGAAACAGTTAAACAGAGAATAATGACTTAAATATTAATTTTGTGGATTTGATACATAAGTATATTTCCAGGTAAAATTCCCAATTTACCATTTCTGTCTTGAATAATCGCCATAAAAAAGAATCCTAAAGTAAAGATATATATTGTCACTTGTCAGAAATGAGTTCAAAATGAAAAGGTAAAAATTTTAAATGCATTAGCAAAATACTTTTCCCCGTAAGTTTGGAAACAAAAGAATTATTTTCTATTTCCATAAGTATATTGTTTTTTAAGACTGTATTGTTACAAAATGTACAACATTTACCTTTACGAACTGCTCATATAGTTGTCTAATTGTTTTCAGTCTCTGATTCTGAACAATTCTAGATTGTTGAAAAACCTTTTGTTGTTGTCGAAACATATTCTATAATCATAAAAAGAAAAAACTGTGGTAATAACAATTTGGTAAATTGTTTTGTTTGTTTTCAGTGCTGGGGATCAAACCTAGGGCTTCACACATGTTAGACAGACATTTTACCTCTGAGATATGTCCCCGGCCCTGAAGTTTTAAACTTAGCAAAAAATAATTCCATATTGCACTTGAAAAGAATAGTTATAAGTTGGTAGTTTTAAGTTTTTTAGTTTCAATAACTATTATGACAGAGTTTAGATGATTTGTGTTTATTGCTAATATGGAATAATTATAATAATCCTACCAGTCAATGAGTAGGAAATCTTAATGCTCAAGACATGTATTATTCTAGGTAATTTCAATGTCCACATGGATGATCTTCCATAATGGTGGTCTTTCAGTTCCTTAACCTATCCTCCACCAATGATTTTTGTCTTCCCTATTTTAGCCATTCACTTACATATTTATACACTAGATTTTGCCTTTATCAATGATAGGACCTTTCTATAGTATTGATAATGGCAAACAAAATATATATTAACTTTGTGTCAGACTTATAAGTTCAAACTTATGTGAACTCATTTAATCCTGTGAGATAGATAGGTACTCATGAGTCACTTCTAGAGTTGAGGAAACTAAGAATTAAAGTTAAATAATTTGTCCATAGTTTCACAGGTACCAATTACTCAAACCAGGATTTGATCTCAAACTGTATTTTTCCAGAGTCCAGGTACACTGCATATGCATAACTGTTTCTCCACACATCCCAGTATTTGATCACCACCTCAACATTCAAGCTTACTCTCTTTAGTAATACAGTTCAATAATATCAGGAAACTAAATCCATTAATTCTATGTATTTTCACTGTCATTCCTACTCCTGTTGTCCTAACTTTCCTCTTTCCCAGCTTAAATTATATGGACAGTTATTATAATTACTCCTTTACATATACACCTTGCCCCTTTCTGACTCTTTGTCACACTTAATTGGTTAAACCTCAACCCTGAAAAATTCAACTCTCTAGCTACTCTATCTAGAAGCAAGACTTTCACCATCTGATTATCTTATTAAAGAAATCTAAAGAGAACTTTATCAGTTTCCCATTACAATATCGACTGTTCACCTACATTAATTTATGCTCAAGATACTCTGCATTCCCTTTTGTTTCAAAGGATGAACTGTCCTTGTGCGTAAGGCCAACTTCTTCACATGTCCCACCCATTCTCAAGAATTCAGCAAATGCTTCCCTCTTTCTGTTATTTTAAATTTGTCCCTCTAAATTATTCCTGTCAATACACAGACATGTTGTCACTTCTCTTAAAAACAAAAACAACAACACACACACACACACAAAAAAAAAAAACCTATTTTTCTTCTCAGGTCATCTTATTTCTTTGCCATTCTGTCTTGTACTCATTTTAATCAGATTTTTGCCCTCACTTTTCTACCAAAATCATTCTGATCCAGGACACATTGCCAAATCCACCCTATTTGGCCTGTAAGCAGCATGTAACAAAAGTAATCCTGTTTCCTTCTTAAAAAGCTTGCTTTATTTGGTATAGAGTGGTTTACATATTAGATATTAGCTCAAACATAATGGAGTTTCCTTTGTGGGTTCTCCTTTACTTCCACAACACTAAACATTCAAGTAAAATTTATAATTTACAATCATGACTTTATCTCATCCAGTGTTCATGGCTTAAAAACTGTCTTTAAACTAATACTCAACTTTGTTTCTTTAGCCTCTCTCTCCTGAACTCCAGAGTAATATACCAGTGACCTATTCAACCTCTCCTTAGACATTTCATGTGCATTTCAAATTTAACATTTCCAAAACTGAGTTAACCAGTTCCCAAGTCAATACCTTAGCTCTTAAGGAATATTTGATAATTACAAACAATGAAAGGATAAGTTGAAAGAACAATTAATGCAAAGTATTTGAGCAGGGCTGACTTCTATCTCCCATAACACATTGAGTCAACTATGTTCTGGGTAGGGGCTATAGCTCAGTGACAGAATGCTTTGCCTTGCATGTACTGACCAAGGGTTCAATCTCCAGCATCTCAGATTAAAAAGAGAAAAAAAAATTGAGTAAACTATATTCTGACTATAGTGATTAGCTCTGGAATGAACTACTAAATCAGGATATTCCTCCAGAACTTTCTGCCAGAGCTAGCGAGAAAGATTATCTCAATCCACTGCAGTTATGAAATTATTTTAAAAATTTGTAGTAAGTCTAGAATTGAACAACAATAACAACAACAAAAATCTATCAAGATGAACCCACTAAAGTTTGGCAATAGTCCCAAGTTGCACTACATAAGCAACCCTTTCCTATCCCCATCAGGTATGCCTGAATCTAAACTACACTGATTTTCATTTATATTATCCAATAATCCTTCTTTTGTCCTTTAACAAATTTTTGTCACTGGAAAATCAAGAATTCCAACCAATGTAAGATGGCCAACAGCTTTTATGAGTATAATATATTCGTATTCTGTGGTCTGCAGTTCAGCATCTTTTAAAAAAACAGCCAGTAATGAGAAATGGAATCTGGTTTAGTTCCATGGGCCTAATACAAAGCTAGATTCTCTACTAATCCTTGAGACTTGGTTATAATAAATTAATTGAAAAGCTAATAATGATACCAACAGCTAGTTTTTCTTCTTGTTCCTCAGCTTTCTGCAAATCTATATCCCACTGCTGAAACAGATTCATAAATTGCTGAGAATATTCTTGGTTAAGCTTCTGTCTGTAAAACATAATAATGAATGTTGTCACACTTCATGCCAATAGGAAAAAAAACATGCAAGACAATATTGAGTTGGTGTATTTTTATACTACATAAAAAAGAAGGAAATCAAAGCAACTTAAATATTCTGATAGGAATCCAAAAAGTAAAATTAGATTCATACTGATTCCAGAATTTTTTTCCTAATAAGCTAAAACAAAGGCCTCT